GATCCCAGAAAAAGTTAAAATTGTCAATAAAATGAACAGAATGGTCAGTACAGGCCGTTGAAAGCCAGGTGTTCAGTGCAAACGATCTGCTGAATCTCTCCACTCCTCTTCTGACTGGCGGTAGAGGGCCACTGATGAACACCTCTGCATTTAGAGAGCTGGCAGTTTCCAACAAACATTTAAAGTCTACTTTCAGCACTTCTGACTGTTGTTTCACAACATCATTTGTTCCAATGTGCAGTACCACATTCTTCACAGTCGGATGTTCAGCCCCAATATGCAGGATCTTCTTAGCCAAGTCAGAGACCACATCCTTGGGAAAACAGAGTACTTTGGTGTTGTTCTTATTACACAGACCTTTTACATCTCTTACAGCAGAGTCACCCACAATCAGAGTTTCAGGCCCAGTCGTTAGCTTTCCCTCTAGCCTTTTACTTTTAGAGTAGCTATTGGTCCTTACCCTGCTTTGTGAAGAGGACAGGTTATCCAGGTCATCAGATCTCCGGTTCTCGGTCAGCGGAGCGTATCTGTTCTGGATTGGCACACTTGGTGGTTTAGGAGGATTGTTTGTAATTGTCCTTTTAGCAGCTGTCCACTGCTGTTTCCTAGTATGAATAGGGGTTGAAGAGGCGCTCTTCCTGGGTGATAACAATGCAGGCCAGCCGGTCGCATCACAGATTTCGGAGCTCTGGGCTCTGCCTGTTATCCGTCCTCCCAAATCCCATGGAAATGATTTACTCTTAGGCTTTGCACCCAGAGAGTTCCAGGGAGGACTACCACTTGTAGATTTATTACCCGGTACACAGCCCTCCTGTTCCTTGGAATCCTTGTAGCTGCTAACTAGCTGTGAGTTAGCATACCCTTCTCCATTATTTTGCAACACTGGTAAAGTCGTGTCATTCCCACGACATAGTCCATTCACTTCCACGTTAACTTCCAACCGTTGCATTTTCATTTCCAACACAGCCATCTTCTGTATAAGTTTCTGGAAGTCATCTGTAGAGAACGGAGGCATTTTGCTACCAACTAGCTAAATAGCAGTAGCCTACCAGGCTTTAGCTGTTGCTAGGCCACGCTATTGTAAGACTGACGTCGTCGTAAAAATGTTGAAATATGGCTGAAACCCTCCGTCTATTTACGAAGATGAACTGTCCCAGTGATAAGTTAATGTCCAGGAGCCGCTGCTCGAAGTTTTCAGAGAATAAGAATAGGAAAATCAGCATAAAAAGTAAGCAGAGGCAAGAGCAAGCAGAAAAGCGTCTGCACTGTAAGAAAGATAAGCAAGCCAGAAGAAAGTAGAAGTACCAGAGTGTAGGAATACTCTGTTACAGTAAAAGTCCTGCATTCAAAATGTTCCTCAAGTGAAAGTAGAAAAGTATTATAAAAATACTAAGAGGCATGAAAATACATTTTCAAAATGCTCAACAGTGCTGCCAAAATTATAAACTGACTGCTACACAATTAAAATAAATGCTTTTATATATTTCTATTAGATGTAACTCTTTGGCGTTTCTGTTATTATTACCTGCTGCTTTAGTTGTTCTGACTGCTAAAATCCTCTGTTATTCCTAATTTTAACCCGATATTCCGTGGGGTCGGGGGGCTCGGATCCTTGTCACCTTTTTCATACCTGATGAGTTTGCATCCCTGCCTACAGTTGCTTTAGCGTGTAGAAGCTAGTAAGCCTACTATTTGATTTGTTTTAGATATGCATCTGCATCAGACAGCATATGGTTATTGAAATAAATATATATGCAATTACGACATACAAGATGTGCCTTTAATAAATCTCACACTACTAAGGCAGCCGGCGGTTCCACCAGGGGCGTCAATCCCGACCCTAGCTTCAGATTGGACCCCCCCTAAGTCATTTAGAATAATAAAAATAAATGTTAAAATAATTAATTTTTTGATAGTAAATCAGTAAAATCAGGCAAAAATAAGAATTAAATAACATAACCCTAACCCTAAAACCGAAATAAAGTAACCAAAAACCGAAAAGAAACTAACAAAATCCGCCATTATCCGGCAAATTTTTGCGCGCAATTTCGGAGCGCACAATTTCGGAGCGCACAATTTTGGCGCGACCGCCACAACGACTCAGAAGGTGCCCTTTTTTTTTCTCTTGAGCACCTGCCCCTATAAATGTCTGTGCACGCCTCTGCTTGTACATATCATATTCTATCTACACTGAACAAAAATATAAATGCAACACTTTTGTTTTGCTCCCATTTTTCATGAGATGAACTCAAAGATCTAAAACATTTTCTATATACACAAAATAACCATTTCTCTCAAATATTGTTCACAAATCTGAAAAAATCTGTGATAGTGAGCACTTCTCCTTTGCCGAGATAATCCATCCCACCTCACAGGTGTGGCATATCAAGATGCTGATTAGACAGCATGATTATTGCACAGGTGTGCCTTAGGCTGGCCACAATAAAAGGCCACTCTAAAATGTTCAGTTTTATCACACAGCACAATGCCACAGATGTCGCAAGTTTTGAGGGAGCGTGCAATTGGCATGCTGACAGCAGGAATGTCCACCAGAGCTGTTGCCCGTGAATTGAATGTTCATTTCTCTACCATAAGCCGTCTCCAAAGGCGTTTCAGAGAATTTGGCAGTACATCCAACCGGCCTCACAACCGCAGACCACGTGTAACCACACCAGCCCAGGACCTCCACATCCAGCATGTTCACTTCCAAGATCGTCTGAGACCAGCCACTCGGACAGCTGCTGCAACAATCGGTTTGCATAACCAAAGAATTTCTGCACTAACTGTCAGAAACCGTCTCAGGGAAGCTCATCTGCATGCTCGTCGTCCTCATCGGGGTCTCGACCTGACTCCGGTTCGTCGTCGTAACCGACTTGAGTGGGCAAATGCTCACATTCGATGGCGTCTGGCACGTTGGAGAGGTGTTCTCTTCACGGATCAATCCCGGTTTTCACTGTTCAGGGCAGATGGCAGACAGCGTGTGTGGCGTCGTGTGGGTGAGCGGTTTTCTGATGTCAATGTTGTGAATCGAGTGGCCCATGGTGGTGGTGGGGTTATGGTATGGGCAGGCGTATGTTATGGACGACGAACACAGGTGCATTTTATTGATGGCATTGTGAATGCACAGAGATACCGTGACGAGATCCTGAGGCCCATTGTTGTGCCATTCATCCACGACCATCACCTCATGTTGCAGCATGATAATGCACGTCCCCATGTTGCAAGGATCTGTACACAATTCCTGGAGGCTGAAAACATCCCAGTTCTTGCATGGCCAGCATACTCACCGGACATGTCACCCATTGAGCATGTTTGGGATGCTCTGGATCGGCGTATACGACAGCGTGTTCCAGTTCCTACCAATATCCAGCAACTTGGCACAGCCATTGAAGAGGAGTGGACCAACATTCCACAGGCCACAATCAACAACCTGATCAACTCTATGCGAAGGAGATGTGTTGCACTGCGAGAGGAAAATGGTGGTCACACCAGATACTGACTGTTTTTCGGACCCCCCCCAGACCCCCCCAATAAAGCAAAACTGCACGTTTCAGAGTGGCCTTTTATTGTGGCCAGCCTAATGCACACCTGTGCAATAATCATGCTGTCTAATCAGCATCTTGATATGCCACACCTGTGAGGTGGGATGGATTATCTCGGCAAAGGAGAAGTGCTCACTATCACAGATTTTTTTCAGATTTGTGAACAATATTTGAGAGAAATGGTTATTTTGTGTATGTAGAAAATGTTTTAGATCTTTGAGTTCATCTCATGAAAAATGGGAGCAAAAACAAAAGTGTTGCATTTATATTTTTGTTCAGTGTACATGTAGGCTATATAGACTTTGTGCACTAGTTTGTATTTTATTATATATAATAAATAATAATAATAATGCATTTTATTTATGGGTGCCTTTCAAAGCTCTCAAGGACACCTTACAGAGCATAATTAAAAACAAGCAACAGAGAAGATCACACAAGACTTAAAAAACAAAGACTTAAAATAATATATAATAATAAAATGTTGCATTGTTGGAGGAGCTCAGGTCAGAAGAATTTCCTTGCCATTTCTACCTGTAGTTTATGTGCATATGACAATAAAACCTTTGAATTTGAATGAACCATAAAGCATGTGTAACTAAATAAACTTGTCTGGACTTTGTGTTTCCCTCACCAGGCGCTTTAAGGCCTACCGCCCTCTGAAGGAGGACCTGATCGTGTCTTCAGGCCCGCAGGTCGACCGGGGTCACGTCGGCTCTGGATCCTCGATGTTCTGGAAGCTTCTGAACAGACAGGGAACCGTGGACGACTGCCCTCTGCTGCAGGACCGGCCCGTGTGAACCAGCCTCACATCCCCAAATACTGAGAAACTTGTGAACCGCAAGATTTCTGCACCTGAGATGTCTTTTTATACTTTTTTTTTTTACATCTTTTCTGAATAAATATTACAATAACGGGTGTAATATTTAGTTGTTTCGATCAAATCATCCCTGTAATTCACTTCTAGACATGCTCTGATCTTTTGTACCTTCAAGTTTATCAGTACAAATTGTATACTTTCATTTGGACAAAAAACTCAATTTGAATGTTTGAATAAACTTTGCTCAAAACAATCTTACATTGGAGTCATCTGTATTATTGACACTGTGGTAATGAATAAATGCTATATGTTCTCAAGTACAAACTAATTATACCAGCTTCTGAATTTAGCCAAGACATTAATAGGTTTTAAAAAAAAATGTTTTTAGAAACTAAACAATCATTCAGCTTTCCTTCCACAAAGTGTTTATTTACTACAGCTTGCAGTACTCATTACTATTACACTTTTTAAAGTATACATCTTTGTGCATAAATGCTTTATAACTAAAAAGGTAAATATTTAAATGATCGGTGTTCTGAGTATTAAACATTATTTTGTGGTATAGCTCAAACTATAGATTTTCAACATTTAGTTTGACACTCACTATATATTTAGATTTTAATTCATAAAAGACAAACACATTCACATGTCACAGGAATTTTATTGAGAAGACAGACAAAATGGTAATCGACAAAACATTTGTTTTGAATGCTAATGCAATCCATAAAATGTGTTTACTTATTAACAACTTTGTCCCTTTTTTAATATTCCTCTCCCTCTTCCTCTCCCTCACCCTCAATGGAGTCGACTCCAACCTCCTCGTAATCTTTCTCCAGAGCGGCCATGTCCTCTCTGGCCTCAGAGAACTCTCCCTCCTCCATACCCTCACCCACATACCAGTGCACAAAGGCACGCTTAGCGTACATCAGATCAAACTTGTGGTCAAGCCGAGCCCAGGCCTCTGCAATAGCAGTGGTGTTGCTCAGCATGCACACAGCCCTCTGGACCTTGGCCAGGTCTCCACCAGGAACTACAGTGGGTGGCTGGTAGTTGATGCCCACCTTGAAACCAGTGGGGCACCAGTCCACAAACTGGATGGAGCGCTTGGTTTTGATGGTGGCAATGGCAGCGTTCACGTCTTTGGGAACGACATCACCACGATACAAAAGGCAGCAGGCCATGTATTTACCGTGGCGTGGGTCACATTTCACCAACTGATTGGCTGGCTCGAAGCAGGAATTAGTGATTTCTGCCACTGAGAGCTGCTCGTGGTACGCTTTCTCTGCAGAGATAACAGGGGCATAGGTGGCCAGAGGGAAGTGGATACGGGGATAGGGCACCAAGTTGGTCTGGAACTCTGTCAGATCAACATTGAGGGCACCATCAAAGCGAAGGGAGGCAGTGATGGAGGACACAATCTGACTGATCAACCTGTTCAGGTTGGTGTAAGAGGGACGCTCGATATCGAGGTTCCTACGGCAGATATCATAGATGGCCTCATTATCAACCATGAAGGCACAGTCAGAGTGCTCCAGGGTGGTGTGGGTGGTCAGGATGGCGTTGTAGGGCTCCACCACAGCGGTGGACACCTGGGGAGCTGGGTAGATGGAGAACTCCAGCTTGGACTTCTTGCCGTAGTCGACGGACAGACGCTCCATCAGCAGGGAGGTGAAACCAGAGCCGGTGCCCCCTCCGAAGCTGTGGAACACCAGGAAACCCTGAAGACCGGTGCACTGGTCAGCCTGGAGATGGAGAGAGACAAATATGAGATACAAATTCAACAACTCATTTTGATATTGTCTTGGGGTGGGGGGGGGGGCGGCAGCGAACCGCTTCAACACGTGTATTTCGGTTTATTCACGGCATTCATTTTGTTATTCTACAGTATTGTTGTTTTGTAGTTATTTGTTAATGTAACCCAATTTGTGTTCTTTGAAATTGAAAAGGATATCGCATTGTGTTTGTTACTTTCGTTGCAGTTGTATTATATGTCTTAAGTGTAATTTGGCATGGCTTCCTATTTTGTATGGACATGCTTTTATTTTGAAGGAGAGTTAGCGCTGTTGACAGGAAGTTGTTGTTGCTATGGAAACAACGTGACTGAGATTAACGGAGAAAAAGTCATATCTACATATCAAGATGGAGAAAGTAAAGGATAAAGTTTATGGTTAAGTGTTAGCACCCCCGAAGAGGCACAAGCTCTTACGTTGATTTTGGAGTTTTCAATAAATTCAATTTGGCAGCCGTAGTGCAGCGCGAATAACGAAATTGAAACCCGAATAGTACTCCAACTAACGAATTCGGATACAGCCCTAATATTTTGAATTTGTTTTAGGAATGTGTCACTCTATACATCAAGTTACCCACCAGTTTGCGGATCCTGTCCAGCACTGTGTCAATGATCTCCTTGCCGATGGTGTAGTGTCCTCGGGCGTAGTTGTTGGCAGCATCCTCCTTGCCAGTGATCAGCTGCTCAGGGTGGAACAGCTGGCGGTAAATCCCAGTGCGCACCTCATCTATGGAGAATAAGCAACAATTATAGGAGTGTTTGACTGACTGGTTAAAAACCTACACATGGCAGCAACTATGATAGTTTATCATATTTAATGAGAGTTTACCGATGACAGTGGGCTCCAGGTCCACAAAAACTGCTCTGGGGACGTGCTTTCCAGCTCCAGTCTCACTGAAGAAGGTGTTGAAGGAGTCGTCTCCTCCTCCACACGTCTTGTCACTGGGCATCTGTCCGTCCGGCTGGATCCCATGTTCCAGGCAGTAAAGCTCCCAGCAGGCATTGCCAATCTGGACTCCAGCCTGACCGACGTGGATAGAGATGCACTCACGCTGTTGGAATAAACAAAAAAACAAGAGATGATTTATCAGAAAACAAGTCGTTTTGGTTTCACATTCTTTAATATGTCAATGCTGTGATCATTTATGAAATCTACAACAGTTAATGTTGCATACATGCATCTCAATATAGGGAATATGGAACTGCTCCCCCTGTCTGAGGAGAGCCCCTCCCTGCACCACAACCTGAGGGGACAGAAAGCCTGACAGCAGACAGGACGCTGCTCTCTTCTTTCCTCCAGTCCTTTTTGTCCTCTTGGCTTTTTTATCCCACACTCTCCCACTTTTGCAAGCGTAAGCAAAAATGCAAATTGCCTTGTCAGTGCACATAATCAGTCTGGAATATTCCACTTGCTCTCATGCCTTGAGGGTGGGGCACAATCACAGTGGATGAGAAAAAAACGAGCTAAAGCTCCACTGTGTCAATATATATATATTATGATTGCTTATAGGCCTAATCTAAATTGAATTAACAGTTTGGATTAAATACAAATGGTATTTAAATGAACCCTTTATATTTCGTGCTATGATTGAAACAGACGCTTTGTGTTGCATCAATTTGTTTTGTTGATAAATGTTGGATTAGAATACACATATAAAGAAATATTTTCCTTTGAATATTATGAATTAAAAAGTCATATTTGCAATCTTGGTCCCCTTTAATCCCCTCCCTATCTGCCCCTCCCTGCATCCAAACAGGATAAGGCATTTGCAAGGTGTCAGATTTTCGCGTATGGACACGTTAAATTTGACCAAAATCCTATATGGACGGCAAATGACGCACACTGACAGATGTATCCACCTGAGTGCCTGTAATAAAGCCTGCATGGAGACAGTCGGTGCATTGTTCACCTCTATCCACAATCACACCGTGTCACTGCTGCAAAACCGGTAATACGCCACTCGATACTGCTTTTTTTAATCCCTAAATACATAATTGGCCAATGTTGTAACTATAGCTTTTAAACCGTGTCAGCTTTGGAGACACAATGGAGACATTGGAGACGTTCCTGAAGAGATGGAGACACGTTAACGACGTCGTGTTAACACTCACTGGGTGCTGCTCAAACCTTCATTTCAGATTAGGAAAAGTAGACTTACCATTTTTTCGTTTTGAGGTTCAGAGAGAGGGAGAACAAAAGGAAGAAATGTGAAGAAAAAGCGTTTTTAAACACGGTGTGGTTTGCGTCGCGAGGTGTACCCGTCGGGGTCGATGCAACAACTGCTGAATGGGAGGGCGGGGCTTCCGCTTTTATACCGTCAGCAGGGCAGGGTATCTGCTTCCGTGCACCGTGGACACAAAAATATTTCACTGCCACGCTTTAGAGATGATGTTCAAACTGAGCATGTCTGTATTTTTCATGACAAATTGAACAGATTTGTATTGTTATATACTCCTAAAGGACATTGCAATAACTATATAGTTGGCAGGGTATGCATTGATTTTTACAGTATGTCATCGAGGATATAAATAACCTACTAGAGTTGTATAGTGGCACTTTTTCATTTTTGTTTTGCCTAAGGTCTTGTTAGAGTTGTTATTTTGTGTGCATATATTAAAGGGTATCTGTGCACCGTGGACAAAAAAAGGATTTCACTGCCACCCTTTAGTGATGATGTTTATGTCTGTATTTTGCATATATATCTGATCTGATTTGCATTGTTATATCTACTCCTAAAGGGCACTGCTAGAAATATATTGTTGGCAGGGTATGCATATAATTTCTGTATGTGATTAAGACCATAAATTATCCTATTAGGCTAAAAAAAATGACCTTTAAATTATCTCTGAAGTGTCTGCATAGCTTACAAGAGGCCACCTTTGATGAGGGTAAGGGAACCAACTCACTCAAGTTTCATTTGAGGAAGTGCACAGTTTCACTAACTAATATGCTGTATTCTTATAACTTATTTTTGCAAATGAAATCAAAATATATGAAGAAATATCAGTCAAGTGTTAAATAACGGTATCAATCTCATCCAATAAAGGGCCACTTCGAACAAAGCATATATGCGGGTGAATCAGCAAGGACTGCATACATGTATTATAGGTGTGGCAAACTGTAAATCAATACAAAGCTATGTCCTGGTGCACATTCTCTATTACATATATTGTATTTGTATTATTTTGTATGAACCTGATGAGCTCATGATGTAAGATGGCTGAATGCTTCTGCCACACAAGATGCTCTCATCACACTGGTATCAGCCGGCGTCCATGTTGATGTTGAGGCCATTGGATCCACCCAGCAGGCCAGCTCTCCTCTCCTCCCTCTTTGTCCCAGATTCTCTGCAATGATGTCATTCAGTGGGGCGATCACGTGGCTGCAAGTCAGCCTATGTGCTGTTCAGACGTTTGGGCGTGACTGCTCTGCTTCTGTCCTGTTTGAAGAACTGAAAGTGCCTGAATTACAGTTTAAGTGACATAATGGTTGTACTGAAGCCCTTCACGTATGCTGCTTATTTACAGTATGACGGCTGCAGTAACAACATTGACCCTGTTGCCCTTTAAGCTGCCTTAAATCCAGGGAATGTAAAGAAGCTTTACATAATCAGCACCCTTCTGGTTCCTAATGCAGTATGAACTCAACGCCCAGTGTTTGTCAGAGTAGCTGCCCTAATGTCAGTGTACCATTTCATAATTTATTCAGCAGGGAAGTCAGGATGAATAATTTACAACCGGCTTTTTGTGGCTGCTGTACTCCATGAACGGCAGAAGATGACAGAAAAGGACAGGATGCAGCCTTGGATCTCAGCCAGTGCTTCGAGAAAATCCTCCTCCTCCTCCTCCTCCTCCTCCTCCTCCTCCTCCTCCTCCTCCTCCTCCTCCTCCTCCTCCTCCTCCTCCTCCTCCTCCTCCTCCTCCTCCCAACAGCTGTGGGACTGGGAGGGGCTGAGCAGCTGCACAAGAGGAGAGAGGAAGGATGGGAATCTGATGTGCTGGAGAGATGGGAGTGGTCGGCCCTTCATGGCAGGAAACTGACCGCTCTGTATCCTTCAGGAGAGAATATGATACCCAACAAAGTGACAAAGCAAATGTTTCAACTGTCAAAGCAGAATCTATATTTCATGCAGGTGCTGTTCCATAAAGAGGCAGTCAAGTAAAAGAGGAAGGTTTTTGTTGTTTTTTTGGGTACAATGAGCTTTTTATATATATAATGATAATGATACTTTGTGTGACTGGTGTCAGGTTGTAAGGCCAGGGAACTACTTGAGAAGAAAAACTGTTCTGGTGGTCCACGTGGTCTTTGGCCTCATACATGGTTTTGTTCTGCAAATAACAAAAGAAACACTATTTATCATAAGCAGTGAAAATGTGTAGGATTTATATAGATTTGAACTCACTGTCATTCAAAAGCATTCTAGTGACACACTACAAGGCACATTATAATAACACTAAAATGTATTTATACTGATCAAAACAAAGTTATTCAGAGAGAGAAAATGAAATATTATACCAAAATAAATGTTGAAATACATGAAGTGCAGAATTAAAATAAACAAGAAAGGACGCAGAACATGGTGAATTAATTGTATACACAATAAATTGGTATTAAGTTGACAAATAATATATTGAAACAACATTCATATTTTAAACAGTCTCATTTAAATAAAGAATTGAAGTTTGACAGGCAATAATTAATTGAGTAAAAGAGGAGAAATATGCCAGTTGGCCTCATTTAAGTCACATTGGTCGGACACATATACACATTCAATATAAGGTACATTTAAAGGACTTTTTCTGTGTCATACTGTACATGCTGGGGCCCATTTGATGTAAGCGGGTAAAAGACAAGATAATGATGTGAAAGGAGACACAAAACTTTCTATTTGACTAACATGATGAGAACAACTCTAATGCAGTACCAAAAATGCCCACCCTGTGCCTCAGTTGACCAGAAAAATACCAGGATCCGTTGAATCCAAAATCCAGATTTAGGTACAGCAGCACAGAATAGATCACATCACAATCAAATACATTAAGGTCATTAGTACATTCAAGAAGTCTTAGGGCTCTCATATTGACTAAAGAATAATAAGGAAAAAGCCCAAAAATGTGTAATTAGACGCTGCAGTTACTTCATTATTTCATAAATCTCCTCAGCTGACTCAATGCCTTAAAAATCTCAGAAGTGACATCGACTTGAGGGCATCATGTAAAAAAATACTCAAAAATGCAATGACTTTAAAAAATGAGTAGATGCCATGTAGTTAATGTGATACCTTCAGAAAAATATCTTATATCTTTGACCATCTGATTATTATTTTCTCTGCAGGTACCCTATTGCAGCAATCTCTATAAAGCAAAATCTGCTTTTTTAGGCCACCTCACATTAAAGAGGTTTCATGTCTGGGTCTGGGACAACTGTTGTCATAGAGATCCTTTTGTTATTGGCAACCAAGCAGCTTTACTGTCTGGTACTTCTCTTTTATTCAGGTGTTTTTATGGTCTTTCTAATTGAAGGTTGAATGTTTAACACAAACAGAGCCACTACGTACATCCTGTTACATTTCACGAAGAATGGGGTTTTATATGAACAACCTTAATGTGTGTGAACAAAAGAGCTCCTCCACATTGATGTCATGCCGGCCACACCCTATAATCCTCAACACCATTTTGTTTATATTTCTGCCATGAGTTTTGTGAGAAGAAGGGGTGAGACGAGAGGACATGTGTTTCATTACATATACACAACATCAGGGTGCAAGATTTTTGGGAAAATAAGTGGCTGAGGCACCTCACATCCCCCACTGTGGCAGCTGCACTGCAGACTGTTAATGCTGCCATTTAAGCTGGGTCACATGACTGGCGGATAAAGGCCGTCTATGGGGATATTCTGCTGTATCCAGGCAACACCGTTATTCATTTCCCTTGCAACGGTTGAATCTTGGGAGGAGAGATGGGGGATGGGCGCCTGTGGATGTGGCCTACATGACAGGACAGTTTGACCTCTTTTGTGTACAGTAGACCGAAAACAAAAGTACATTTTGAATTAAAAAATAAACACACACCCATGTTTTTACATTTGTGGAAATATTGACTGTATGATGATTAATGGGTATGGGAATTAGCTTAGAGAGGACACTAGTGCACATGAAACAAACATGTCTTAAACCAAAGGTTGTCTGGATTTTTTTGTAAGCATACTTGGAAATAGGGTTTAAACCTTATGCATCAAATGTGGAGGCATATTGTTTTTAGGCTATAGAGGTTATTATATGTTAATAATAACACATTATACCAGCATCCCAATCTGTGTGTTGGATTTGTATAGCTTTGCAGTGTGGAAAGAAATCATACATTTGAAACATAAACAGATGGTAAAAGGCGTAATTTAAGGGTTTGGTGAGCTGACTGACTGATTGTACTGGCAGGTGTTTGGACATCAGTTGTTTGTATTATGCATGAGGCACAAGAGGAAAGAAAAAAATCAATGTGACTTTAGTAAAAAGTGTGATGTATTCTCAAAATGTAGACTCCATTGGATTATATTATAATCTGTAGTGTGTAAACAAAAGTCTAATTCTAAAGTATCTAATCTTGTATATTATTTTACAAGTTGTTTTCTATGTGATTCTGCATGGATTGGACTTTTTTTTTATTATATGGAAGTGCCAGCAAACACTGGGCTGTATGTCAGACTATTTGTGGTACTCCCTTGCACAAAGTGAAGCAGCATTTTCCTCCTCACAGTAACCGGCGCCATGCTTGCGGGGTGTGGTCTGGGAGGCGGGCTATGTGGCGAGACAGGCGCTCGTTTAATAGAAAGCCACGGATAGAATCGAGAGTTTGACTGACAGGTCGTTGACCAATGGCTGCACCGAGGTCACCGACGCAGGCTTTGCCACTATATTTAACCGCTATCCATCTCTTATGCGCCATTATCTCTTACAACGACCCCATAACTGTCGTATTGTAAGATTTTCTGTGCAGGAACTTCAATCCTCCACCGCGACTACAGAACAAAATGGTAAGAACATTTCAAAATAAATGCCAGGCTTTTTAAGGTATGCCAGAGGGAAGTAATGGCAGTGGTAGGCAATACATTTCGTTTTTGATATTTAATTCTCCCTACACTGTAAAACATCACAGCCCCATTTAGTTATGTCAAGTTACATTGTCTCTTTAATTCAAAGAGCTCTGACAAGTTTTTGATTTTGAACTCAGCTTTTCTAGTTTAAGAAGGTTAAACTTACATTTATTCACTGTCTTGACAACTTAAACATGTTGTCACATTGACTCAA